TGAAAAACATTAAAATTCCAAGGTGGATACGATATCAGCCAAAAACAGTGTTCAATCCATGTTTTTTTGTGACGCCAGTCAAGCAGCGTATGCGGCAGTAGTTTTTATTCGTGTAGAAGAACCTGAATCAGTTAAAGTCCAGTTGCTTCAGGCTAGGTCTAGAGTTTCCCCTTGTGGTAAAAAGGAAACTACTATTGTAAGATTAGAATTGTTAGCAGCAACTATTGCATCTCGTCTTGCTGCAGACGTTCTAAAAGACTTTGAGGCCAGAAGTACATATTTTTCTGGACAGATTCAACTACTGTCCTTGCATGGATAAAAAGGGAAGAACAATGGGGGACATTTGTAGAAAATAGAGTACAGGAAATAAGGCTTTTGACACGTGTGTGGAGGATTGGAGGCATATACCTGGTCACCTTAACCCTGCAGATCTTCCAAGTAGAGGGTGTTCAGTTCGCCAACTCTCCCGGTCAAAATGGTGGGAGGGTCCGAGCTGGCTTTTAAAATCCGCAAGAAATTGGCCGAGTGCCGAATTTATAACTGATGAAGCGGAAATAGCCAGCGAGAAAAAAAGGCAGTGGTTTCATCTCTAGTGTCTACTGAAAGGTTTAGTTTGAGTGAGCGATTTTCTAGCTATCGAAAAACAGTTAGAGTTGTTGGTTGGATTCAACGATTTTTCTTTAATTGCAGAAATAAGAAAAAAAGGAAAGGTGAACTCACTGTTGATGAAATTGATTTTGCAGAAAAGGTTGTTATTCGCTTGATTCAATCGGAATCGTTTCAGGATATAGAAGACGCACGCTTACGAACTCTTAGTCCATTTTATGATGCGGGAATTCTAAGAATTAAAACTGGTGCGTTTCGAAGAGATGACACGTTAGAAGTTTAGAACACCTATAATATTACCAGGAGAACATCCATTAGTTAGGAATTTAATTATGGAAGAACATAAAAAGAAAGGACATGCATTCAGGTGTACAATATATACTGAATACCTTAAGGGAAAGGTTTTGGTTGTTATCTGGCAGAAGAACTGTGCGTTCTGTTTTGAGTAAATGCATTACTTGCAAGAGATATTCTGCTGCACCTGTTGACCACATATCAGCCCCACCGCCAATAGAGCGAGTAAATGATTCAGCAGTATTTCAAGTAACGGGTATAGACCTTTGTGGTCCTTTATTGTTGAGAAACAAAGAAAAGGCATGGATTTGTGTTTTTACATGCGCCGTTTATAGAGCGGTCCATTTGGAGTTGCTGACTTCTCTATCTACAGAAGTGTTTCTTCAGGCTTTTCATCGGTTCGTGTAGCAAAATGATGTACTCGTGAAGCTGCAGAATGAAAAACAAGATTCGTTGTCTGAACTTAAACTCAACATAGATGATAAATCTGTCAGGCCTGTAACACGATCTGGTAGAACTGCAACTCCGCCGGACAGACTGGCATATTAAGGCTCTTTGGCATTGTTTTACTTTGATGTGAAAGTTCACTTTTCTTTTTTTTTTCCCTTAGGTGGAGGAATGTTAAATATTTGCATAAGTCGCCTGTAGTAACGGCAACCGCCGGCAATAAAAGGAGGTGCTTTCCTTAGTGGCACCGCAGTTTCTTTTAGTTCGAGCCAGAATAGACCTGCCCGGGGAGAAGCCAGGGGATGAGAGATTCCGGTTCCCGCCCTGTTCCGGTTCCCGTCTTGTTGCGGATCCAGTCCTGTTCCGGTTCCCGTCTTGTTCTAGTCCTGTTCCGGTCCTGATCCAGTCCTATTCCAGTTCCAGCCTGGCCGTTTAAGTCCAAAACACGTAGGAGCGGATGTCTGAATTCAGCGAAATGGAGATATAAGCCGAAAGGGCTAGATGGATTCTGTCTTTTAAAGGAAAGTGTTCTTCACCGTGCCGGCATAGCTGTTACTTTAAAGCACTTTGAAGTTTTCCACCCAAGATGTTAAGTTTTTGTTTGTGATGTTAAGTTTTCATCAGTGTTGAAGTTCCAGTTAAATAAACCTTTAAGTTTTAGACAAGGTTTTTGTGTTCTTCAGAAAATTTTAGATTCGAAGTCAGATACAACACATAGGATTATTATCGGAAAAATCAACATTGGAAAACGTTATTCAAGGTCTCGGGAATAGTTTTCAATTAACAGATATACACTTAATATTTTTAATAAAAACATTATTAATACTGCTAAGCATCACGCATAAGAAAAATTTATAAATCTTACCTCGTCTTCTGCAGAAATTTACACAGATGTTTTCCTATTAATGGATTTCTTCATTTCGTCCTTAACACGGCTTGTTATAAGAACCGTGACATCCGGCATTAGCTTGAAACAAATATTGTTCACATGTTTTTCCTTGAATATAAAAGACCCTACTTATTGACATCAAGAAAAAAGAAATCATTCAGCAACTTTTAATTCTAGCATAGCCGAAATTTCTAATTCGAAAAATAATAATTTCGCGGAATATCTGCTATCGACTCCATGTAAACGTAGCACGACACTTCAGGAAAATCAATCTAGAAGGTCCAATTGGAGGGGTGCTTCGGAGAGCTTTAGCAACTTTCCACACAGAGTGGTCGGTGTGCGAAAGACTTTCAATGAAGTTATCCCAGCAATTGTTTCTGTACTCTTGGATAAGTTTTCTGAGGTTTCGATTGGCAGCATTAAATCTTCTTTTGTCTTGGGTGGAGTGGGAACGTTGATAAATTTTTCTTAGTCTATTTTTCTCTGTAATTTTCTGTCTAATATTGTGTGGGAGCGTATAATTAGTCTGTTTTGGAATAAATTTGGCGTGGTTGATGGCTTCGTTGATTTTACTGCTAAGATAGACTGTGGCATCATGAATTTCGCTGTTATTAGTCATTTTAGTGGTAGCAGATATGTTTTCTTCAAGGTGATAAGCATAGTTTTCCCAATTAATGCGACACTTTATAGGCGGAAGACCATGCTTTAAGCCATATAAAGTGAAGCGTACTGGTAGGTGATCTGAAGAAAGTTCATTATCCACTTGGAGAAAAGGTATTTGAGGAACATTGAAGGTAATTAAGATGTCTAATACATCAGAAGTATTTGAGATTTGATGAAGATGCGTAGGTTCATCTGGACCATAAATGTTGATATCAGGGTTGTTGATGATGTAATTATTAAGAATAATTCCGTCTGGATTATTTCGCCTGGAGTTCCAGTTAGCGTGCTTACAATTTAGGTCCCCAGCAATAATAGTTGGATAACCTAAGTTGAGAATATAGTCAAGATCTTGAGTGTTGAGGCTATTGTTGGGTGGCTTATAAACAGCAATGATGAGATATTCTTTATTATCACTGTTCAAAATAGCACTTGCTTCAAAGCTCATAAGGGGAAGAGGAAAGATGGTACTGTTTAGGCATTTTTTCATGAGAATAGCTGTACCGCCACCACGATTATGAAGACGGTCAGATCTATAGATGTTGTAGTTGGGAATTTTAAATTTGTCATTTGATTTGAGGTGGGTTTCACTTAACAAAATTACATCCAGACTGTGCTGGTTGATGTAGTTTTGAATTTCAAATTTTTGATTTTTAATACCATTACTATTATAAAACATAAACTCGGCATAATAAATATGTTGCATGGTATTTGGATTAGCCGTATGGGCGTAAATATTCATGCTCGTTCTGGATGAACATCTTTAGTGCTGCCATTGCAGTCTTGAGCCTGGAGTCGGGGTTAGAAGCCTGCTTGTATTGCTGGTAAATTTGGTAAATTTCAGTAATGAACCCGGTGAATTCTTCAAAGGATTGTTCTTCTGTGTCTGTGTTTACTGATTTTCGTTTATTTTTGGAGGATTGATCTTCTTTATCGTTATTTACAGATTTCTTATTATTCTTGAGGGATTTCCTGTCGTTAACCGTCTTTGGGTTGCTCTTGGTAATCGCCGCATATGATTGGTTGTACGGGGCAGTGCCCAAATTACGTGATTGGCTGAGAGTAGAGTGAGTCTGTTGATTTTGCATATTTGGGGAATTTTTTGGTGTTTCTTCATTAATTTTTTCAATATCTATATTTCCTGGTCTTTTGGGGCATTCCTTACTACAAGATGCATGTCCTCCTCCACAGAGGACACATTTCGCAGAAATTCTTTACCTGTTTGATGGCACTGGAAGGATTTGAGATTCTCGGCGCATCTGAGACACCGGGGGATATTTTTACATGCACGTTGAGTATGCCCGTACCGTTGGCAGTTAAATCACTGCGTCGGTCCGGGCCTGCTTTTGTACGAAACCATTTTTACTCTAATATCATTAATGTGGCGTACATAATTAATTAATTTTCCAGCTTCAGTGCGTGGAGTTTCAACATAAAAAACGGGTAGGTTAACAGCTATGCCATCGCGCATGCGCCGTATTTGTTTGCATTTTAGTACAGGAATGTTTTGAGATTTAAGATCTTCTTCAATTTCTTTTATGTCTGTGTCATTTGATAACCCTTTTATTATGCTTCTAACCACTTTGTCAGAGTTCAGTAAAAATGTGTGATAGGGAATCTTTCGAGAATCAAGCCTATCCTGAACTTTGCGGTAGTCGTCGGCAGAAAACAGCTTAATCCTGAAGTTTTCGCCTTCTATCTTTCCTTCAACTTTTTCGATGCCTAAATCTTCTTTTATTTCTTTACGTAATTCTTTCCAAGTTATTTTAGGGTCTGTGATAATAAGTTGTGGAATTTTGCCAGCGTATTTACGTGGTTGTTTAAATCCTGTACAGCGCATGCGGACGTTGTTGTTACTAGAGCACGTGACCACGTTTTTCCTCTTCTTCTCTTGCGGAATGTATCTCATTTAATACTAAATGTGAAAGCTTTTCTACATTTGTTATGTCCCTGTCTCATTAACGCGTTTAATAAAATTTTGATTTCAGTTTTTTTTTAAACGTCTCTTTTTTTTCTTTTCTTTTTTGTCTGATTGCTTTTTCTCCCAGCTACCGTTTCAAAAATAATTCAGACTAATACACCGTGGGGCATAAAGTCTTCGTATGTAAATGCAGTGTAGTTATGAGTTTTCTGGTTCGGTGTATGTAGATGGCAACACGTATTGCATCATTATTATAAGATTTACCGGTTTATAAAGATTGAAGAGTAAATTCTTGTGCACGAGACATAAGTATGATTATTTATTAGCAGATTTTGGGTATCATCTAAATTTCAAATTATCTTCTTTTCATTCTGATGTGTAGTATCAAAGTAAACTTGTTATTTCGAAAGGTATTTAAATATTGCTAGTTTCTTAAAGGTCATTACTCTGTTTTCATGCTTAAAAATGTAAAGAAATTAAATGGAATACGGTTTTAACCGCACTTTTTCTAACTAATTTTAGATAAATCTTTGCGAATCCTTCAACTTAATTTGTGCTGTTGTAATTCCAGTTTCGAATTTTGTTAATTTCTAGATAATTATGCATTCAGGTCATAAATAATGCAATCGGCTTCCTTTAAGCTTAAACCAATATTTATATTCTTGGAATTCTTTAAATACAGTAGAATATATTTTCCCACTATGAATTTTAGGTGCTTTATATGTATTCTATTATTCTATTTCACATATTATGATATTGTTTTTTTGTTGTTTTTCTCAAAATATGAATGTTACATTTCTGTAATATTTCTCACGTAACCGAGCATTATTAGATTTACATAAGAGTTAATGTACATATTATTGCACATGGTTATAATCATTTACAATGTTGTCTGACCTGCAAATGATTATATGAACATCAAAGTAACTGATATGTATTTCAGATGTAATAATTGCGTCCAGGTTGAGCCCTGGATTTGAAAATGGGTAAAAGTATATTTATGAGTACCCCTTGTCAATTTTTGGCGATACAGAGTTTGTGCAATTCTTTGACTTGTTATTTTGGCTTTGTGTAGCAGCGATTCTAGCGCTAAAAATCGCTGCTACACAAAGACAAAATAACAAGTCAAAGAATTGCACAAACTCAGTATCCATGTACACATTGACCTATTTTCACTTAAAATCACAGAATTGCACAAACTAGGCATTGAACACTTCCTTGACTTTATCCAATGTACACGTCTACTTATTTTCACTTTAAAAAAAAAAAAAAATCAGAGAATTGCACAAATTTGGCATTGCACACTCCCTTGACTTTGTACATGTAAACATCGATATATTTTCACTTAAAAAGTCAAAGGAGCACCCAATTCTAAGTAAAAGTATATTTATGGAAGATTCAACTACTCGGGTTACCATAAATGAAACATCAACTTGGCGATTAACGAAACAACAACTGGTGATAAATGAAACAACAACTTCGCAACAATACAAGAGGTACCCTTCAGTCTACTCTAACAAAAAAAAATTTTAAGTAGTTATTATTAATTATAGGTGAAAGGAATTTCCTACAAAATCTAAGTAATACTTTTCCCAAATGCAGATGGATAAAAGGTGAGTGATTTCATTAATTTATCTTCATGTCAACTTTATTACGAATTCGCTGCAGAATATGCACAGTCCGCTTTTGTTTTTAGAGCTTCTTTGCATTTTGATTTCTTCATGCCAGCTTTTGTTTATCATATAGGAAACAAGGTTGTATGAGTAAATCGGACATTTTTTAGGTAAAAATATATTTATGGGTACCTCTTAGCAAAAATTGGTGATTTTTGGCGGTACATGCATACCGAGTTTGTGCAATTCTTTGACTTGTTATTTTGGCTTGTTTAGCCAAAAAATCGCCGCTACACAAGACAAAGAATTGCACAATCTCGGTATCCATGTACACAACGACCTATTTTCACTTACTTTAGAGAATTGTACAAACTTGGTATTGCACACTGCCTTGACTTTAACCATGTACACATCAACCTATTTTCACTTAAAAAAACATCAGAAAATTGTACATACTAGGCATTGCACACTTCCTTGACTTTAACCATGTACACATCAAACTACATTCACTTAAAAAGTCAAAGGAGCAGCCAACAAAAAATATATAATCTCAATAAACTACATTTTAAATCAAACAATGAAATAATGTAAAAAAGGAAATTTATCTTTGCACTACACTAAGAAAATATCCACTTACCTTATTTACGAATTAGCATGTCCTCAGTCAAACAAAATTCCTTAATAATATCCAAAAACTTCCTAAAATTATCTGAACTAAAATCTGTATACTGACATCGCCACATAAATTCACAAAATAAGAGTAAAAAATATCCTCCATGGCACCGTTTATCGTCTGACGTTCAACCATACGCATTTCCTTCCTACAAACAGGACACTTAATAATGGCTACTAAATAAACCTTCATTTACACACCAGTCAAGTTATGCTCTTTTCTCCTTTCTTTTCAAATTAAACCACAAACGTCTAAACCACAAAAACAAGCAATATACTTCCTATAACAACACACACAAGCCCTTATGAATTTACCGCAATCATGCAACCAATTACATCTTAATAGAGTTTCTATAACATTAAACTACTCAGGCTACCATAAATGAAACAACAACTTGGCGATAATACAAGGGGTACCCTTCTCTCTACTTTAACCATTTTTGACATTGAAATTAATTTTCATAAAATCTAAGAGATTTTATGATCTCTCTCTCTAAACTAATGAATTTCTTAAAATCTCTTAGAATGTCCTAAAAATTCCGAGTAATGCATTATGGATGTTGGGTACATTTTTTACATTATATGAACTTTATATTTTTGCTGCAAAGTAGAATATTTACATATATAAAAGTGCACTTATATGTACTGTATCCTTTCAATCTTGAGATCTTTTGCTGAATGAATGGCTCCATGTGACACATATAAATAACTTATTTTTCACTTTTGACTGCATTTAAGAGGATTTGTGGTGGATAATTTTTCTCTTTTCTAAAACAGAAGCATAAGTTTGTTCCTTTAATTAATGCTTTATAAACGGAATTATTCTATAGAAGGTTGTTTTCCTTATCAACCGAGGCCCATTAGAGGCCGAGCGGTAAAGTCGCTGAACACTGGTAGTTCGGTCCGAGGTTTGAATCTTGCGAACGGGTTGGCTGCATGGGTGTTTTCATGGTTTTTCCCATGTGTAACATGTATACGAGCCAGTTTCCCTTAGAAAGTCCTCCACGAAGGCATCCCTCCCTTTAGGCTGATAGCCCTCGAAGCTTTGCCATAATTAAATAACCTAACCTTATCAAGTAATAAAGTATTTCATTCCACAGTGTAAAATTTAAACCACAGCTAAATTGCAACTTATACAGTGGCTTAAGATCCAGAATAAAAGATAAATATAATTAGACATTCATGCAAAACTGCCAACCTAAACCATTTAAACTTTTTTTTTTTATTCTGTCATTCATGAACCAAAAGCACTGCTGATTACATGGGAATGCAATATGTTACTTTTCCAGTCAATGTTCTGTTTCTAGTATAAAGTAGTTGAAAAAATTTTTTGGCTAACCCATAAGGTCAAAATTTAGTACCTTGTGTTGGCGTCAGGTTTTTTCTCTTACATCCATTATGTGTATCTTTTTGATTTTGTGTTATTATTTAACAGGAAATCACAACCAACATCATTATAATACTTTATTCTACTGCTGTTTTAAAAAGTGCATGAGTAATTAATATCGTCAGTCACCATGGTTACATTCCTTATCTCTCGTTTATTATTCTTACAAATGCTTTGGATGTCTTTTAATATCATGATGTAATCTGGCGGTAGACTGTGGAAATTGCCAACACTTATTACAGTTAATAGAAATTAATTAGCATCTCAAAGCCGTAATGGTTGTAGAGTTTTGCGTAGAAATGTTTCACTGAAAATTTTTCGTATGCAGAAATATTTCCGTTAGAAAATGCTGTGCATGCTTTGTCTGACATGTTATACAGGGTGCGGCTGGGAAACTATCTTATTTTTTAAATGAATAGCACAAATAGTATAAGCGATACCATTTAAATGTTTTTCCAAGTTATAGAGAGACAGTTTTATTATTATTATTATTATTATTATTATGGTTTAAAAATAATATGATTAAGGTGGCTTCGGTTCTGGTCAATGCATTGAGATAGTCGAGTTTTGAAGTTTCTTTCCACTTTTACCATCGTATCAACCAGTATGTTGTCAATAGCAGCTTGAATATTGTTCCTCAGTTGAGCCAGGGTCTTTGGACGTTGGAGATTTCAGATAGCCCCACAAAAAGAAATCACACTGGGCTAAGTCAGGCAAGCGCTCTGGCCACTGAAGATCGCTCCGTAAGAAGATAAGACGTCCAGAAAAATGTTCCCCTAAAAAACCATGGTCCAATGATGCCTATTCTGGACAATGTACACCAAACAGTCACATGTTCTGTATGGAGGGGCTTCTCATGAAGTTCTCGAGGATTCGTGCTACTCAAGTAGCGCATGCTATGCACTTATTCATGCAACTGGAAAGATGAAAATGAGCCTCATCACTAAAGAACAGAAGGGCATCATGAGGCATATTGTCAAGAATGGTATCACATGCATTTTTTCGTGAAAGAAAATCGTGTGAATTAAATTTTTGCACCACTGCCAATTTATATGGATGAAAATACAGTACGTTGAAAATTACGACTCCATAGCAAACGCGCGCTACTCTCTCGTCCACTGCATGATCGGTACTAAACCTACATTGCATAAAATGCTAGACACCGCTCTTTTCACTGAGTGCCAACCCACTCTCCTCAGAATAAATGTTGCTAGATGGCGCACATTTCGAATAAGGAAGTTCCCCTGCCACACCCTGTCTGTACCTTAAAGAGAATTTTCTGCCAGTGTTAGTTTCATTCTGTTTAATTCTTATTGGAATTTGTTTTAAGAGAGAGAAGTATTATTCAGAGGACGTTACTCCTAAGTTTTTTATTATTTAATTGATACATACTGTAAAATCATTTTGAAATATCTGGGTATTTGATATGCAGTACAATCAGGCCCGGATCCAATAAGTGCGAGGCCCAACTGGATTTCTGGGGTCCTCTATATATTAAATATTTAAATAAAATGCAAATTTATATACGGTATAAAGTCTTTAATTTGGATGTCCATAATCCAGACCTTAAAGCTATAAACTTTCTGTGCATACGTATCGTTTACGCATGCACATGCATTTACTCATGTGCATAAAAC